GCTTCTGTATCCAATACAAATGTTAGGATGACTCATCAAAAGAAAATTGATTTTCAGAACATGTAACTACTAAATGCTTCATACCAATGAACTAACTTCATTAGAAGTTTTCCTTCTAAGTTTGGACATTATAAACATGCAACGGAAATCCAAAGGAATGTTATGTTTCTCTGATTTCAGTTAACTTTAGAGGTGCATTCATGTTTGACAGCCTTCATCCCAAACAGGACAGAAAACAAAGTTTAGAATTATAAATGTCGTACTGAAGTAGAAGTTTCTCAATGTAAGTTTTCAAAACAAATTTAACTTTCAATATTTTCTGCATCCTTTATTTTTGATTTTGACATCTTTTGGACATTTTAACTTTTGCCCCTCTTCTTTGAACTTCTCATTTGCTTCATTCAAATTACATTTTAAAGGCAGTTCTTGACCTTGGTCATGGAAAATGCCAGGGTTTTATTAGTTAATCAGAAAGGAATTCACTTCTGCTGTGTTTTCATTAAGCACAGACAGACATTCTGGTGGTTAATGTAACTCCCCAAGCTGCAGTTAACAAATGATTTGTGTAAGAAAACTATCTCATTTTTTCCGTTGTCATCTTGACAAGAAACATGCAAAGTTTTTTCCCTTTGAAAACTTTGAATCTTTTTTAAACTGTAGAATCTTAATCTTTCATTTATTTATTTGAGTGTGGAAAATAATGGGACTGAGCTTTTCATCCAGGGAAATATGTTTTACAAGAAGCAGTCCACTGAGATGTTTCCAGAAACTCATGGTAGACCTGGAAACTTCACAAATGTTCCTCATGTCCAGCTAGGAAACATCTTTCATCTTCAAAGCTTAAGCAATCCATTTTAATCACTTCAAGGTGGTGACACCATTTGATGTTACAAAATAAAAGAACTGGGCTACATAAATCTTTCGAACTTTGCACAAAAAAGTCGTCCTGGATGGAAACTATGGAGTTTCAGTAGATGACACCCTTCTCTCTGAGTGACAGCTCATTGCTGGCAGAAGACCATGTGGAGCAGTGGTCTTTCTGAGGATCTATCCTTTAGAGTCATCTAAACTCCTGGCAAACTCACAGACAATGATTTTTTTCTTTTTCTTTTAATAAGACATGAGCCCGGGAATCTGAACGAACAAGAAGGCATGTAATTACAGTCTTTCCTCCTTTCCCAGACTTGTTCCAGTGGTTTTGCTCTCTTCGTTTTTACAACTAAGATGTCTAAGTCCAGAATTTAATCAGAATATCTATTTACTTATTTGAATTTACTTCATCTGATATAAAATACTTTCAAGGTGCCAAGAAAAAACAAGGTATCATGAATGAAAAACACAACATTTGCATCAACAATACTTTATTTACTTACAATTTATATAATCACAGAGCTGAGGATGATATCTGGCTAACCCATAAGCTTCTGAATCTCTTTTTGTAAAATAGGATTTACCAATTCAAAGGTGAATACCCTTTTTATCACCTTTGTAAATGTATTATTAGCTCATTTATGTTCGAGGGCAATATGTAATTTCTCAATATCTCCTTTTAATAAAAAGTAGTTGCAGAACTAAGAAAATTCGGAGATCATGAATTTAATATGTTTTGTGTTCTCTAGTTACCTAGGGTTTAACAAAATTTAGGTTCTAGTTTTAACTCAAGCACTGATTGCACGTTAGGTGATTGGCACTGTCATATCTGAGCTATGATGTTTTCTCTCCTCTTAAAAGTATGATTATTTCTAACAATTGTATGCTACATTTTTTTCTGATAGCTCATATGTTTCATTGTAGGGGAAACACAATCAGAAAACCTGAATGTTATATGATTGGTTACCAAGTCTCTGTTCAAGCATAATGGAAAATAAACTCTCATTACGAGGCATTTTATTTCTGAGTCCATTTACAGTTTTGTAATTCCCACACAAGTAAAAACCCACAGTTTATTTCAATGGGATCAAAAGTGTAGCTCTAATATTAGAACATATTTAATTAAAATAAATATCTGCTTTTTGCTGTTATGAAGCAGTATTATATAGTAATATTTATCTGATAAGCAATGAGTAAAATACTTACATTAAATAAAGACTATAGTAAAGACTTAAAATACTAAAAAAAAATCATATGTAGAGTGGTAAAAGCTGCTATAACATTTAAGCATTTTCAAAAAATCTTTGATATAGTTGCCATTGTGTATGTGAGTGAGTGTGTATGCAAGAAAACATTATGCCAATAACATACTAGTTTCTAGTATAGTAGGAAAATAGCATTTAATACTAAAATCCACACATGAATATTTTAAAACTTCACTCACTCCAGTTGTGCAACATTAATACTGGTATTGGAAAAAGGTAATTGATTGTCAGCCACTAGATGGCAATACTTTATGCTCAAAATTTAGTGTGTTTTATAAACTGCCAAACCAAACTACAGGAAATATAAAATAGAGTGTGTTTCTCCACTGGTGGAATAAAAGACATAAATGAAATAGAACTTTTACAAATTTGTAAAAAGGCCAAACTTCTTTGGACATGTTTTATGCCCCAGAAAACTCTGTGAGTAGAAGTTAGTATGCATTCCCCACTTGCCATTGAGTCTCTGACTCAAAACAACCACCATTGGGTTTCCAAGGCTGTAAACCTTTCCTGAAGTAGATTGCCTCATCTTCCTTCAGCAGAGGAGCTGGGGGATTTGAACCAAAAACCTCCTGGACTAGTAGTCAAATACCTTACCCACTCTACCACCAGAGCTCCCTTGGAGCCATGTTATTTATATCTATGGTAGTAGGGCAAAGTCAAGAATCCTAGAGCCCGGAATTCTTATGTTCCCACTGTTCTCAATGTGCTGTATATTTAATTATCTCCTGTAACGTCCCCAATACTTATTTACCAACAGAATTTTCTTGTAAAAGCCTTTAGGGAAAATATGATGTACTATCCAAAACAATTGAACTGTTTTGTTTCCACAACAGAAAAAAAAAAAAAACGCTGAATTTTTATGTTAGGAACACATACAAGCATCAATGAAATTCTATAGATAATTATTATTTTGTGCATCTAGAGAGAAGGGGGATTTATGTAATGTAGAGATAATGTAGGTATCAAATTTTTCTTTTTATCCTCTCTAAAGTTAGTTTAGGAGCTCTGGTGGCATAGTGCCTAAGGCATTTGACTGCTAACCAGAAGGCTGGTGGTGCAAACCCACCAGCCACTTCTCAGAAGGAAGACTGGGCAATTTACTTTCTTAGAGACACCGCCTCAGAAACCCAAAGAATCATCATGCTTATACTGTAAGGCATTAGGCAACTACAGATATTTGGATCAGAAAACCAAATATTTGTAATCTTTTCAACAAGTGGAAACACTGTGATTTCTGCTCAAGAAATTAGGAGATTTTAATAGCTCAAAGAAATGTAAAAGTCTTGATTATGGTGGCAGATGGTCATCATTTGGTATCCTAACCAAAAACTGGGCATTGTAACATTTTCTTGGAGGACAGGATAGAGAAGGAACGGGTAGAGGTATTAAGAGAGGAAGGAGGGTTGACTATTCTAGGAAAAGGAAGTGGGAGGAGGCAAAAGGAATAAGACAGGAGATGGAAGCACATAGAGGATAAAGGAAGGACTGATGGGGAAAGAAGAGAGAGGATGGAGATGAGGAAAAACGAGCTTGCCCAGGAAGGGGGTGGGGTAGCGAGTGAAGGAAGGAAAAGGAGGAGGTTTTCCAAAGGAGCCAAAGGGGTGGAGAGTTGAGAAGGAGGGGAAAGAAGGGGGAGAGGAGGAATAAGAGAGGAATGGAAGGAAACAAGGAATGAGAATTTTTTTTTTTTTCTTTTATGGCCATAGGCGGAACATGACTCTGAAGAAATAACATTGGATACCTCCCACCTCAGCACATATCACCTGTGAGGGTACCACAGATAACTGATACTGCAAAAAAAGAAATCTTATTCTCATGCATAATGCTTGCAAAAACTATAGGTCTGAAAATATAGATATTTTCAATTATATACAAATAGAAAATGAGATGGCGTGGTGGGTAATGATTTAACTATCTTTAAGTTTCGCATTTAATTGTTTATTTATATGAAGGATTTTACATCAACTTGCCCAGTAGTTTCATGGCTACAAGGAACATGAATTAAGAGAAATGATTGCACAGAATGAGACAAAAGAGCTTGGGGAAAATTGGAACATGAAAGCCATCACATGCACTTATCAGAAAACACTTCAACTTTTCAAAGTCAAACAAAAGAAATAGGCTTACTTTGTTTTCAGAAAAGTAAAAACATTCCTGTTAAAATATATATTAGTAAAAGTATACTCTTCATTAATGCAAGTGCAGTTAAATTGTAGAACATGCAGAAAATACTAACAATATGCTATTAGAAAATATGCATTAGTCAACCATGTGAGGGTTAGAAACAAATAAAAACAAGAATGATCAAACATTTTTCATAGTTTGAATATATTTAAAGGAGCTGACATATATCTTATTGACACTGTACAGAAATATATACCATGATTCTAATAATGCATTTTCCTTTAGATAACTTTTTTAAAGCATGCTCTTTTTAAAGCACATTATCTTATTGGGAAAACCATGTTCAATATTATAGCCTCACAAAGGATGAAACATATGAAGGAGAACATGAAAGTATTACAAGAGACCAATAACTTCCAGACTGCCTAGGGAAGCATTCCAAGATATTAACAATCCAGGAAGGGAGTTTTTAAAAAGCCGTATTAAAAGTTTCCAATGCCTTTAACATGAAAACAAGTCAGTACAAGAACATTTTTTCTTAAACACCCAGATAATTTTTAAACACACAAATGATAATATTCTTTTTAAACAACTGTAAAAGCACCATCATGATCCGTTCAACGTTGCACAAGTGAATTCTAATAGAGTTTATCATCATGTAGGAGACTAATTTCCCCCTTGGTGAGGAAAAGTAAAGACAAAAGCCTCCTAAGTTTCTTGAAATCAGTACCTACTCACCTTCTTGGGTCTGTTGTGCCAAAATAATAGTGGGATGAAGCAGAGCAAGAAGTAGCCAGGTCCCCTTTTGCACAAAGCTCATCATGTCTAAAGATCAGACATGAGACTCTTTGTGCAAAAAGGAGAAAAGAAAAGTATTCAAAGTAGCACCATCAGTTGTTCCCTGCCCTTCAGCACCGGGCCCGTCATAAAACTCAGCCACTGAGATTGCTTTGCTTTGGCCTTAAATAGGAAAAAGTTTGGCTTCTCTCACTTTCCAGCCCCTTTCTGAAATATGAGAGCAGCACCCATCCCCTTAGCAGTAAAAGAAATGATTAATATTTCTTTTTCCCTTATAGAAGATACAACCCACAAAGCAAGAAAAACAGCACATCTGGAGCTTATGTGTGTCTGCTGATGTATAAGTTTGTTACATATTTTAGTCTTTCATATGTGTGTGTATCACTTATGAACATATATTGAAATCCTCTGCCTTATAGTGTTTAATGTAAGAATTAAATGTATGCATTTCTTATTTCTCCTCATAATATTATCCTCAAAATACTACTACATTTGAGAAATTGCTTGACGTCCATTTTTTGGGCATGGCTATTTGGAAACTATCTTCCTAGAAGATTTTTCAATTGATATTTTGCCAGCATCCACCCTAACTCAATTTCAGTTGGGAACTTTAAGAGATTAAATAGAGGAAAAACTCTCTTTGTCCCTTTCACTCATCCACCCACCCTGGCTCCTGGACACTGAACTTCAGGCAAATGTCAAAGGACTGAATCTGCCAGCTATGTTTAAATGGCAGCCTAAAAGTTAGATACTTATCTATAGTTGTTTCCATTTCCCAGGAATTTCCTTAGCAAGCCAAAGAGTACTTTTTTTGTAAGATTTCCAGTTTTTATGCTGCTCATGAAAGTCAGAACAGATCTTTTCTGGAGAAAATTCATCCTTTGCATGTCTTGGTTTATAAGAAACTGCAAGATAAACAGCATATCACATGGAATAGCAAAAGAAAAAAAAAATTATTGTTGGGTGTGGTCATGTCGATATTAAACTCATAGTGACCCCATGTGACAGAGTGGAATTACCTCATAGGGTTTTCTAGCTTGTAATCTTGACAGGAATGGATTGCCAGGTCTTTTTCTCATGGAGCACTTGGTGGGTTCAAACTGCCAACCCTTCAGTTAGTAGCCAAACACTTAACCATTGGTCCACCAGGACTCCTTAAACAAACAAACAAAGACAGAAGAGATTTCCATTTTATCTGAATTACTATGAATTAGTATAAATATTTCTAAATTTAGATCTTCAAATACATACTTTACAGTTCCACATCTACATAGGTTTTCAGTGTATTTCTGGATCACAGGAGCAAATTTGTGGTCATATTTGAATGAGAGGAAAAGACCATTTATAGATCTTTGATAAATCTCAGCAGGAAAAATAGACTTGTCTGCAGCCTAGCAGTCAAGATCTTTCGTTACACCTTAATCATGAGTCCATCACTCCTTCATTATTTCTACATGCTACCACAGGCCTTTCAGTTCTAGTTAAGATGTGAATTATTTTTCCATGTGTAACTTAGCCATGTTCACCTTCATGTATGTGCACACAAACTTCTCTCCACATCGCACTAATTTTCTAAGACCCAGCTCAAAACTGTCTTCCTCAAGGAAATTTTCTTCTTTAAGGCTGGCATTATCTTTTTTTTTTCCTCTCAATTCATGTTCCTTTAGTTTTACTCAATTAAGAAAATACGTATTTTCCCAAGTATGCCTCTACTCAACAATCATGAACTGATAGTGGTGTGCTTGCCTTCCTTATATCCCTAGCTGCAAGGAATGCAAACCAAGTTGTCCCAAAGGGGATGACATCATCTGATGACAGAAAAGGGGAACTAGTTGGACCAATTTGTACATCTTCTGATTTTAGGTTGGAAAGTCAGTTCTTGAGAAAGAAGACAAAACAAAAGAAAATGCTTAGCAGTCATGAATATTAGCTTTTCCACTGGACCATACGGCAGATCTTGTGGAAAAAGATTGTTATCTGTATCCTTCTATCCTCCAATTACCTGCATCTTATACTTTAAATAAATTTTTATTGTCCCAAACAGATTAAAAAATATGATTAGTTTTTTTATAGCATGTCTTGTACTTACATAAAATTAAAAATCCATAAACTTCTATTAAATAATTTATCTTATTATTTTAGATGATCAATAAAAAAGAAAAGGTATTAAATTTTCTCATTGAAATTGCTTTCCAACATCAAAAATGGATGTATTGTAGTAAAAATAATGCTTTTTATATATAAAGTAATTTCTATTGCATTTTTGGCTTATCTAAATTTCTTAGTTTGATTAACTGTTCAATTGAAAATCTTACACTGATGAGAAAAAATTTCATGCTTGATGCATGTACTTAAGAAAAGTTAGTTGATATTATGCCCATGAAGATATTGTTTTATTTTAAGATAGGCACGGCAGATGAGAATTCAGACTCCAGCTCTTCTGGTTTACCATCCTTCATTATCCAGAGCATATCTGAAGGTCTCACACCAAGATCATTGGCCTTCTATATCCCAGTTGCGATTATTTTCCTCACATCAAAATGCTTTCTGGTAACAGTGTCTAGATGGGCGTGACTATGAGCTGGTATCACAACTAGGTGAAATACAAACCTTAGTGAATCCTATTATGCTCTCCAGGAGTTTATCATAATCTGGACACACATTTCTTTCTATACCACCCTGCCTTCACTGATATTTACCAGGACACACAAACATATCATTTTCTCTCTGGATTGCATTTGGAGTTTTAACCCAAATCTAAACAACTGCACCAACTAAAGCACTGATTATTCTGGTTCCTTCAACAAAGTGAGTAACTGGAAAGATGAGTTAAAACAAGGGAGTGGCAGATTATCAACCAAAAATGCAAATCTTTTCCAGTGGAAAAAAGAGCTGGGGAGAGATGCACAAGCACAGCTGTGATGAACTCAGAAGGCCAGTGAATGTCAGCAGTGCTCTCTGCAACAACAGTAGGAAATCAATGATCTTCATCATGAAAAACACATGGAAGAGCAGTGTGTCAAGCACTTTCTCTCCTCCTGTCTCTTCTCTTTTTCTGTGTCCTCCCTCCCTGTTAGACTGCTCTATGTGTTATTCTTTTTTAAGCTAAGGAGATGCTTTGTTTTTATGAACATTCTCTATATGCTTTTATATCACTGTAAAGCCATTTAAAAATATACCTTTGCCAATAGTCACTTAAAAACACTGAATCCATGGCACAACTGCAACATAAGTTAGGATAACTTATAATACAATTATAAAATACAAACTAGGTCTTCTCTTCTGTTACTAGGGGTGGGATCAGGTCACCCAGCTTCCATGAGTGAAACCATATTTGGAGAATTGTGTTTTCTTTAAATGTATTAGAACAAATACAATCACGTGTGGAGTAAGAGCCACAGGTATGGTTGAAAAAAATGCCATGTTGTAGTGGAAAGACTGGGATATATCTAACCATAGATATTACCAGGATGGAGGTAATGATATTAGCAGTAAGATATGATAGTCAATTATTTGAGTGATTAGAATGATTGATTGTTTAAGGCCCATTTTCTTTAATTTTCTCTTAACATCCAAAATGGAGTAAAATGTCAGTTTGTTTTTGTTCCTGAGTCAGAGTCAACTTAATGCAGTGAGTTTGGTGTTTTTATTTTATTTTATTTTATTAATAGTGCTAAAGTGATATGCACTTCTTGTTAGACAAGAAGTTCTATTTTTGTACAAGACAAATTTCTTTGACATTTAGTAAAATGGAGTATATGCAATGTACTAAATATCTCTATTTAGGAATATTAAATATAAATATCTCTATTTCTATATATTATTTTTATATCTTTTACTGTTAAATCTAAGATTCTGAACCTTTATATTTTCCAGCTGAAAATTACCTCAATAACAAAAGAAAGTTGAAAAAGTTTACTTTTTGGAATTGAAATTCAAGAGCACATTTTCCAAGTTTTTTTTTTTAACCATATTTTTCACTTGAATTAGTCCCTGATTATGGTACTCATTGTCATCCAGTTGATTCTAACTCATAGCGAGTGACCATATAGGTCAGAGTAGAACTGCCCTGTAGAGTTTCCAAAGCTGTAAACAATGCGGAAGCCGACTGTTGTATCTTTCTCTCGTGTATAGCCTGGTGGGTTCAAACCTCCGCTTTTTCTTTTTGCAGTTGAGTTGCTTAACCCCTGCACCACCAGGGGCTTATTTTAGTAATTATGGTACTGATATTTTTATACAATTTAGGAATTGGATGAATATAAACTTTTTGTTTGTTTTAGTGGGGAATTGTAAAAAGGATGCAGAGAAAGAAAGTTTTAGTATTTATGGCCAATTAAACAATTACTGTACTGGTCTTTTGACCCATCATGGATCTTTGGGCAATTTTTAGTATTGTTATAATTTTTAAAATGTCAGTGAAAGCTCACTAATTTATACTGAGTGATGATGAAGTAAATCTGAGGTCATGCAAGCTAATTCATATATGTCCTTATGTGTGCTTATATATATGTCTATATACAAATTTTTAGAGATTAACAAAACTTTGAGCAAGTTCAACTTCCTGGAAACTGTCTTAATGCACATCAGGATAATTTGTATTAGTTACAGCAATTTTTCTCCATATAAATGGATAAACATCTATAAGCGTCCTCTTATGTTGTCCCCTGAAATCTGTCTACTTAATAGGCTAGTGAAAGGAAAGGAACTACTGGCCAGCAATGTTGTAATTGTCAAAATTCCTGAAGTATTGTAAGAATGTCCTCCTGAATGAAGTCTTTATATGTTTATATTTTGATAATGATTTTATTTGTCATCGTTACTTATTATTGTGATTATACTTGAAAATTCGTAGAAAATTAGAATTCAGCTCATTACCTAGAACACTGACTCATCCCTGAACAGTTTGAAGACTTCATGAAGTTTGCTGCAAGGGCTAATGCAGAGGCTTGGATGCAGCATCTTGTAGGAGTTCCCTGTTGGGTCTTCAGTTAATTTAATCATTTTCAGGATTGTAGTTCTCCCTCT